CATTAGCAGCATCATTAGCAGCATCATTAGCAGCATCATTAGCAGCAACGTTAGCAGCAACATTAGCAGCATCATTAGCAGCATCATTAGCAGTAGCATTAGCGGCATCATTAGAAGCATCATTAGCTGCATCTTTAGCACCAATGTTAGCAGCATCGTTAGCAGCAACGTTAGCAGCAACACAAGCGAAACTCTGCACAGTTATCAGAATATTAACCAGGATTTTAGTTTCACAGCTACATCACTGGCTGTAATGTTCAGACATGTGATCTTTTATTACCTTATATCATTGGCTGTGATTTGGATGCTTCAGATGCTCAGAGAAACAGTCCAACAGTCTGCTAACGTTACTTTTGTGAGATGTGATTTAAAATCCTATAGACTGATATTGTTCTTAAGCAGTTCATATCAAGTGCTCCAGAACATTGTCCAGAGTCCAGATAACAAACGGTTCCACCTGGAAGTCTCTGTGCATGACAACAAATCTCAACAAGAATTTGATTTAAACCAGCAGCTGCTGCAGCGTCTGTCTGCTGGTTTCTTCTGATGCTCTTTGCTTTTGTGTCTGTTTGGTTCTAATCAGATGTGAGCGTCTCTGGTTCTAATCTTGATTCTGGTGTCTGGAGTCTTTATGGTCTCACAGTTTGTTCTTGTCTCCACCGTGTCCGCTGAAGGTCGGACTTTCCCTGAAGAAGGCCCCTTTGTGGTCTGTGACTTCTCCTTCAGACTTTGGTTTAGTTTCTTTCTGCCTTTGAGTTCATTTTGCTGGTTCTAAAGTCCGTTTTCTTTTCTGATACACTTTGTATGTTCTGACTGTAAAGCAGAGTGCAGTATAGAATATAGAACACTGAAACATCGGCACCGGGTCCAGTGGAGCTTCACATGAGTTCATGCTTTCAGTTTTGCTGCTCGGTTCTCTAAAACTTTTCATTCTGTCCTTTGTTTTCCTGCTGCTGTGTCGGAGTCTGTTTTCATTCTGCAGTTCTTTCTGTTCACAAAGGACAATTGGACCATTTATTTCAGAACCACATACGTGTGTTTGGCTCAGCTCGAGTGATGCTCTGGAACCATGTGAGTGAGGAGACTTGGTGCTGAGTGACTGAACAGAAAATGGCCCGTTGACTACGTTTTATTTACCTGTTTGTTTACTTACCACTTTATTTGTTTACCTGCGTGTTTATTGGCCCGTTAATTCGGGGACAGGAGGACCAGCCTGAGTAGCTAAGACAGAATAAAGACTCTTGTTTGTCAGATTTTATTAAAAGATGTCAGAATCAGTTGATCAGGTGTGTTTCTGACAAACGGACCAATCAGAGGAGGGGGTGGAGCCACAGGTTCTCAGGTGTCACTCAGCTTTGGTTCTCTTAACAGCTCCAGGTAAACGGTCCTGCAGCCTGGAGACAAAGACAGACGTCAGCTGCTGTAGCAGGCTGTGGACAAAACACCGTGAGAACCTCAGATGACTGGTATGTTCACCTGTGTAACCATGGAAACCTGTTCACCTGTGTAACCATGGAAACCTGTTCACCTGTGTAACCATGGAAACTGTCATCATTTCAGTCATATTGATTAAAGCTGGTCAATATCTGATCAAAACTTATCAAGAAATAATCAATGATGACCCAAAACTGATCATCCATCATCTCTACACCTTAACCCTCACTAGGG